CAACCAACCAAACTACAGACACACACTCACACACACACCCCTCAAAGCTAACAGAATCTGTTTAAAACCAACTGCTCCAATTTAAGGCAATGGTTATGGTGCTGAGGAAGAGTACTGAATAACCCACAGTCCACCAAAAAAAATAAACATATAGGTCTTGGAGAAACTACAACGAAGGTGCTCCTAGAGACAAGGATGGTGACACACTTCATCCCACACATTTTGGGCAGGTTGTGAGGCTCAGTCCTTGGAAGAAGATGTGATGCTTGGAAAGGTAGAGCATCAGTGAAAGGGGAGAAGAGTCTCAACAAAATGGATACAGTGACTGTAACAATGGGCTGAAGTGGCAGATATATGCACACCCATGTTTATCACGGCTTTGTTCATAATAGCAAAGAGTTGGAAACAACCTAAGTGCGTATCAAATGAATGGATAGAGAAGCTGTGGTATATTCACACAATGGACTACTACGCTGCATTGAAAAACAAGGAACTCATGCAATATTATTCAAAATGGGTGACCCTGGAGGACATTATGCTGAGTGAAGTGTCTCAGTCGCAAAAGGACAAATACCGCATAGTGCCACTATTGTAGAACAGGACTGGCATCAGGGTTGGGGTGAGACTGAGAACAATTGGATAAATTATGTATACTGCATTGAAACAGATGAGGGAGAGAACAGTTTAAAAAGCAATATATGATTGGGTATTATGATTATGACAAGAGGCCAGAATGAAGGTTGCATAGTGCAGTGTACTTGGGGGCGGTGACTGTATACCAATGAAGGAATTTTTCTTTTACTTTTCAAAGAGAAGAGCGAAATGGGGCAGGGGATAGGGGAGGGGTGGGCAGGGAGAAAAATGCAACAATGAATGACTGGAAATCCAAAATCTCTGTAAATGTTCATTAAAGTGAATAAAATTTTTTTTAAAAAATGGGCCGAAGAATATCAGAGGTGATTAGGATGTTACAGGACAAGGCAGGATTCAGATCCAGTCTTCACAGGGTTGCTGAGTCATAGTCAACTTCTTGGCACCTCACAATAACAACATGCATGTCAATAGGGAATGGTGCTCCACAGGGTTTCTGAACGGTTGACTTTTCAGAACTGGATCAGGCTTCTCTCCTGACGTACTTGGTGGGTGGCCCTCCAACCTTTCAGTTACTTTGTCATATGAAACATCTGTACCTGCTAGGAACTCTAGAAGCAGCGGCTGGTACGCTTTGGAAAAGAATGGTTTACAAATGATATTAAAAAACAAAACCAAACCTGTGGTTGCCAAGTCCAGCTCAAAGCAGGACAGAGTGGACACTGTCCATCTTTCCCCCAGGAGCAGCTCATGGGTTTGAATTGTCAGAGAAATGAGACCACAGAGTTAGCAGTGCAATTCCCTATCGATTATGCCACCAGAGCTCCCTACAGCTTTCAATTGTCTTTAGCAGATTACAGATACCAATAAAAGTGCCCTAGTGATTAGGCACTCAGTTGTTACCAGAAAGGTTAATGGTTTGCTCACCGCCTACTCTACAAGAAAAAAAACAAAAAACCATACTGGTATGTTTGAATAACATTTATAGTTCTGGCAGCTCCATGGCATACATACAGCTCTACATTGTTCTACTCTGCCCTATGGGGCTTCTAGGGTTAAGAATCAACTTAAAAGCAGTTTTGTTGGGGGGGGGGGGTTTGAGGTTGTTTGCATCCCAATTGTAACAGGGAACTCTGATGGCTCAGTGATAAGGAATTACACTGCCAACTCAGTGGTACATGGCTCGAATCCACCAGCTGCTCTAACAGAGAAAGAACCCCAACTGGATGATGCTTCTTTTGCATACCTGATGGCCCTAGTGATAAGAAGTTGTGCTGCAATCCCAAAGTCAAGGAGTTTGAATCCATCAGCTGCTACATGGGAGAAGGATGGGCAATCGCCTTCTAGTATGATTTCTTGCCTATGAAAACCCACTGGAGGGTCGACTGTGGATTGGCTCCAACTTGACAGTACACACAACAACAACAACAACAGTAATGGAGAAAGGCACCTTTGTTCCTAGTTCTTACCGTTGAGTGGCCCTGTTGACAGGTAACAGCCTTCTCTTAAACATTTAGGAAGGTGACTTTGAACTTAAGATTCTGATAAATAAGGAGACCTACACTAATAGACATCTGAAAATAATAGTTACAGCTTTACTACCCCAGGTCTAAGAATAAAACTTCACAGATAACAACCAGTACCTTGTTGAAGAGATAGAAATAAGGTCATAAATCGCCATGAAGAATCCAGGCCCAATGCCACAGCTAGTTTGTTCAAGGTCTATAACATTTATCACCTGGTCTTGCCAAAAGACTCCTAAATAAATATTTTTAGAGCCAAAAAAACTGTTGGAAACAATCACCTACAAAGTTCCTGGCTTTTCTTTGCTTCACTGCCATCGTTTTAAATTCAAGAAGCCAATCCTGGATTCAGGTCCTGGCAGGAGAAGAGCCAGGGCTGTGCAAACTTAATTCCTGGGGAAAAGTTAATTGAGGCAATTATCTGGACTGTATTAACACAGTACTGAGGGGAACATCCAGACCATTTTCAGAATTGTGTCTTTTTTGGTAAGGATTTGCCCTATAAAATAAAGCCTTAAAAGAAACATGAGGTGGCCTATATATAAGCTCATAAAATAAAACCAAGACCTCATTGCCCTCAAGTCAAAATCGACTCACGCTGACCCTCTAGTGAGGTTCTGAGAGGATGTTGATGACACAGGAGAAGCCTGCTCGTCTTTCTCCCATGTGTATATAAACAGACTTCAATATTGTGGAAATAAGCCACTGACCTCATAAATGTCAATTTTTAATTTTAAGAAAAATTTACAGAATTCATACAGAGAAGGAGATTGTGAAATGTTAGGTTTTGGAGTGGTTGGGGTTCCCCCCCCAATATAATTTGGTAGCAATACAAGATTCATTAAATCCCTTCCAATGACATGCTGGCATTTTCTCCTTTATCATCAGTTTCACAAAATTGAAAAACTTCCCAGTGCTTGATCTGCAAACCAGTCTTCCTTCATTAACTGAAAATGAGGCTTCGCATTAATTCAGTTTCATCTGCCATTTGTTTAATTAATCCTGTTTAACCAATACATTAAAAAAAGAAACACACCCATATACCTCAATTATCAACACTTTGCTTCTATGAATAAACACTTCTTTTTCTTTTTAAAAAAGCCCAGTTCAGACCTTGTCACTCAGCCAAGCTGTACACCATCCCTCTTCCTCCCTCAATCTCATCGGAAACGAACCTGACAATTCACAAACCTTCAGACTACAAAACACTTACTGCTGGTAAGGTGGCTTCAAGATGAACCATGGCATGAGAGTCACAGGGAAAAAACCAGAATGTGGCACATAAAAGACTCTCAGCTTTTTTTTTTGGTGGGGGGGGCTCATGTTTCCTGTATTATCTCTAAGTGTACCATGCACTGCCTAGAGAATGACAAGTCTGTCTTGAAGGAAATGAACCAGAGTGCTCCACGGGGCAAGAATGGTGAAATTTCACCTCACAAACCGTGGGCAGGTTGACCCACAGGAAGAGCTTAGTCCTTGGAAAAAGACTTCATGCGGGGAGAGTAGAGAACTGGAAACAGCTCAAAAAGCAGTTGGAAAATTCAAGATATTTTTGAAGGGGCGTTCCCCAATCGCTAGACCCTTAGCGTATAACAATGGTGGGTCAAGTCCCGGTGTGTATTCTGTAAAGTTGTGACCATCGTGTGTAAGAGTTCAAACGTCAAAGATCCTGCAAATAAGGTGCTTAGAATATACCTCAACCCATTAGAGGGGGAAGCTGGGTTTAAGTGACGAGTGTGCTTCCCATGAACTAGCGTGTTTCCTCTTTCACTCTTGATATTAGATCTTTTCTTTTGACCACGGGTCTAAACACTGCTGCCATCCTGGGCAATGAATGTCTTGCTATTCCAGCCTATAGAACAAGTGACACAGCTTGGTAGGCACGGTTCCCAAGAGTTTGGCAGTAACTGTGTTGAAAGTGTTTTTTCAAACAAGAAAAGTTTAAAAATGCCGTCTGGGAGCAGCTTGAGCCAATCACGACTCAGAGCCGCCTCGATGTTTAGATGTCTGGAAATATGTTACAAATGCCTCACACCCCGCCTCTCTGGTGTGAGCACCAGCAACGCCTTCAGGAGTGCTGGTAAAGGGGATGATGGCAAAATCACAGGAGGAAATGAAATCTACAGCAGCAACTCATTTCACTTCATCCAGCAACTACGCACGCGACAGACACAGACTTCACATTTAGCACTGCCAGTCTGGGCAAGCCTCACTTTTCCCTGATAATCGTGATTTAGATCATTTTCATGTCAGGTCTTTCTTAGCATTTTTGAATACAGGAATAATCTCAAATGTATCTTTTTTAAAACTATTTTTATAAATAACATTTTTAAGCTTTCAAATACTCAAACCCAACACCTTCTACTTGAGTACTTAGCCAAATTACAAAAGAAAAAATAATATACACATATAGCCAAGGAAACAGATAAGCACCTTTGAGAATTACATGTGAACCTTATTATATGACCAATGATTAAGTTCTTTTTCATAAAATAGATTACCAATTGATCCTACTTTGTGTAGGACCTCTTAGTGTCCAAGAATAACATCCTACATTCATGGAAAAGAAATCACTTCTATTCCAGGTCATTAGAAATCCTTCTCTGTGGAAGCAGAGGCTGATGGCAACAAGTTTTTTAGATGGGAAGGCGTAAACTCGCTGTGACTCTTATGTTTTAGGGTTATGTTTTGTTTTTTTTTTCCTAAAGGAAAGATACACCATTAACAAAGACACTCATTGGCTACTGCCTGGGGAGGAAACTTTTCTGGATAAGCAGAGAAATTACACTGCTAATTTTAAGAAATGTATTTTGATTTTTGTTCCTTTGTTGTTTTTCTTCTTATAAAACACCAAGGTAGAGACCCTCAAGGCATTCACAACGAGAATTAACCCTGGACTACAAGAGCATCCTCCTCTACCAAGGACAGTTCCAGGGTGTTTTCATTAGCGCTGCTTTTCATCCTGAAGTTGAAAGACCCATAGAGTTTGGCAGATTCTTTGGAGGAGGCAAATCGGTTTCGGCGATAGAGTTCTCCCTTCCACATGGACATCATGAGCAGGCAGGACAGCACGACACCCCCGAGCGTGAGGAGGCAGAGGCCAGCGATGACACAGCGGTCCAGGTGGGCGCCCAGCCTCGCACTCTCCTTCTCCAGACGCTCCATCTCCCGGGCGGCCACCGTGTTGGGATCCACAGTCACATCCCGGGGGACCACGTAGGAAATGATCACCAGCAGGATCCCAGTGACCAAGAACAAGATGGCGCTGATGAAACCATAGTCCACTGACTTCCCCGAAGACGTGGCTTCTGAACTTGTGTCGTCTTCATCTTCGGATATCAAGGACATGGCAGACTCATGGGGCCACTCGTTTGGATTTCCCCAGCCCAGAGTTTCAGGGTGATTATTTCCTTTGGTCGTAGGAGAGCTCCGGTTCCAGGGCTCCAGGTTAACATTCTCGTCCATGTATGTGAAAGAAGTTTCCAGTTCCTGACTGCAGCAGTTGCAAACTTTACATTCTATTTGGCTGTTCTCAGCGTTGACAGGTCCTGGAGGGAAGGAGTCTGGCTGAACACCACCACCCTGCGAAGAGGAGGAAGGGGACGCAGGGGAAAGGCTCCGTTTTGACCCTTCCATCTCGGCTGCTATGGGTGTTGACGTGCACTGTCTCTGACAGTAGAGGGGGGTCCTGGTTGCTGCTCCATCTTCCTGGTCTTCGGGATGTCCTCCTGGGCTCCAGTCCACTATTCCACACAAGTCAGCCTGCTCCCTCTTCTTAGCAAGCGCCTGGAGTTCCATCAGAGGCAGCTAGACATCTCGTAGAGGTTTCTGGAAATCCTGTCAATAGCAACACAGTTAGATAAGAACCCAACAGAAGCTAGGGCTGTACTGTCAGGAAGTCTGGTCTTGGGCCCCATTTCTACAGCATCTCAGCCCCAAAGCTTCCTAAAAGGGGCAAAAGAAGGATAAGGACACCTAGTGGCCTGAAAGTGTGGTGCGGCCAAAGCCTCCTTTGTTGCCCAGGGATTAACACTGAGAAACTAAAATCAGGGTAGAAAAGTTGCAAGGAGGAAGTGGTGGTGTCACTGGAGAAAGTGTGCCTGCCATCGGGAAGCCAAATTTATCCAAGGGCTCACACATTCCTGTGACAGGATCCCTCAGATGAGACGGCAGACTTCCTGTAAAGAGGCAAATGAGCAAGGCAGGGACCCTTTTTAGCAGAGCTGCTGATTTTCTGAAAAACCTGAGGAAGTGCAGACTTCTAAATTATTCAGCTGGATTTTAAGAGTTTGCACCCTCTAAAATTCAGGGCAGATTCGGATACCAAAGTTCATGAGGCTGAGTTTAGGATTAAACTCACCATCAGGCTACTGGAGCTGGGGCTCTGCATTTTGACTGTGCAGCTCTGAAGTGGGTTAAAGTGAGCCTGTTTAGTTGGCCACCTTTTCTCACTTGACACATCTTGTACCTGAGGGTCCTAGTCACCCTGTGTTTCATCCCTGTGTTTCTGAGGCTCAAAGTTTACTCATTGTGACTCCATTCAGCCCCATCCCTTCAGTGCCTCACTGCTACATGGGCAGTATGTTTAAGATGGCTTGTTTTAGACCTGAAGGTAAGCAGAGAGCTTGCCCACTAAAGTCCCTGTGAAATACACCAGGCCAGCCTACTCCTGCTCAGACAACTGCCCACGCCAGGTAGCTTTCACTGTGACTGACTCTCTCCCTCTCAGCAAGCTCTGCTTAAAAAACAAGACAGAAACACACACAGGATATTGACCACCCAGAAGTTCTCACAAACATATTACAGATTTACTTCTATAAAATGACAATCTAAAATAATAATAATAATAATAATAATAATGATGATGTATGTAAATATAAACTGATAAAGCTGGATTTCTGTGAACAGCTGTTTTCCAAACTAGCTACCTTTTAGACTCTGTAGCCAAAATACTCCTTCAAGCCACTGCAGCAAGGGAATTTTGTGGGGCAGAACTTTGGGTTGAGCAAGAAACCATCTGTCTTTTTCTTCCTGCTTTTCCATTATTTCCCGACGAATAAAAATTCACTTTCCACCTACCAAGGACAGGGGATTCAAGCAAGAGCCCCCTTTTATTTCACTTTTAAATTCATGGCGATAAATGATTTAACCCATTTCTTGAAGGTTCTCATGCTTCAAAATCCACAGCCCCAACAGCACACAATCCTGGGCAAAGCTCATCTAAGGTCAGTCTGCCAACTCACTTAGAAGAGAGGAAAGGAGTGGATACGTTTTCTGCTCTACGTCAGAGTTTGGGTTTTTAAAAACACTTCCGTCCGATTACTAGAGAGTCTATACAACCCAGACAGAAAAGAAAGAAATCCAGCGTCGGAAAGCCGGAGCGCATAGGCAAGCGGGCAAATCCCTACCGCAGGATCCCTCAATGAATGAGACGACAGCAAAGGCTGCATCAGGGTCTCAAAGGAGAAATCTCTCGTGGGTCCCTCAGGGATTAGGTGCTTTGACTGACCTTTGGTACAACTAACGCCTCACATATAGGACCACTCTGCGTAAAATGAAGAGGGTCCCTTACGTGACTTCCAATTCTTAACAAAGGGGAGGAGGAGGGAGAGTTGCCACCTAAATCCCCCTCGCCTGTCTCTCTCTTTGAAGAAAAGAGGGGTGCTCTCTTGTTCCACTGGAGACTCATTAGCTGCACAGTCGATTTCCTTTGCAGTTCTGTAATCCGGGGCTTCCATCCTCTCTGGAGAATGGGCAATCCCAGGGGACCAGCTAAAGGCTCTTTTCTTCCGTCCCTCCCTCACTCCCTCCTTTCTGGTCTGTTTCAAAACGCATGGAACAAAATTGCACCTCTCCGCTAAAACACAGCACTTTCCTCCACCCGTCTGCCATCAATTAAAAGCCTGCATATCTGCTCGGGAACTAACTGGCACGGCCGAGGCTGGACCCAGGGAGCCAGCTCGGGCTCCGTCCTGCGCGCACTGTGCCGGGAGGGCGCGCCGCAAACCCGGGGCAGCAGGGCTCCCCACGGGCGCCGCGGGCTCGCTGGAGCCATTCCGGGTGAACTCCGCGCCCACCCGGGGCACCGGAGTCTCACCGCGCCCGCCGAGGAGCCGGCGGCAAGGCGGGCAGTTAGCGAAAGGAGTGGGGACGCGCGCCCCTGCTGCGCACGGCTCCGCGTCTCTCTCCCTCTGCCCAGTTCAGCCGCCCCGTCCCACTCTCCTCCTGCCACTCACCTCCCGCCTGGGCCACTCGGTGCCGCTCGAGCACCACGCGCTGGCCCCGGCGCACGGCTCCCCAGGAAAGTCCCCCAATCACCAGCCGCGGCACTTGTAGCCTCTGCTCTCCGCTCCGCGCGCCGAGCAGCGCCCGCCGAGCCGGGCGAGGCGGGGCGGGGCGGGGCGGGGCTCCCCTCTTGCTGAGCATCCCGGGAGATGTAGTCCTGAGGCCGCCTCCCTACCTCCGTAGGGTCTGGGGGTCCTCCGTGCTCGCTTAGGTGTACTAGTACCTGCTGTACCTTCTTTCTGCCTTAGCTTTGCAGAAGGAAGCGCTGGCCGCCAAACTCGGTGTGGAGACTCCATCCTCAGGTGTAGTAGCCACAGGATGGTGGAAGGGGAAGGAAGGGATTCCAGCTGGGTGTCAAGCAGTGAGTGTATTTTGCTTAATAGTCTGAACAAATCTTCAAAGTAGATTTTATTAATCCTCATTTTATAGTCGAAGGAACGGGCTCAGGAAGATTAAATGCCTCTTCCGAGCCTTCTAAAAGAGCCTCTAGTTGTCTGATGTCAAAATCACTGCTTTCCCCCACAAAATCAGGAGAAATGTGACCTTTGAAAGCATGGAGTTGTCCTCTGCCTGGAAGACTGTTGACAACTGTTGAACGTGCAGATTAAAATGACGCAAAATAACAAAGAGACAGTACTGTGTCAGTTCTAGGCTCTCGTCTCAGCATTTCAGATTCTTCAAGCTTTAATTTGTAAAGTCCTACAAAAATCTTCCTTTTTAGAGGTAAGAACATGGAGTAAATTGCCCAAAGTCACACAGCTCTCCTTCTCATTGCCATTTAGGCAACATCGTACTCAAAGCTAACCCTCCAGAATGATTCTGAGACAAAGGTGTGGCATGAACGCCAGCAGCCTCTTAGCATCCTGTGGTATGGAATGGATGAACTGCAAGAAGAGATGTAGTTCATCCTAAACGAAATCTGGAGGCTGGAGATACCGAATTCTGATTCCTAGGAGAGAACAAGGTAACTGCTTTGGTTCACTGTGAAGGTTGATGTTATGTGAAAACTTTGCTAGGCTATGATTTCCAGTGGTTCAGCAAACACTACATTATCACCTGTTGTGATCTCATGTGAGCAGTCAATGAGGTTGGAAGGGGGTTTACTTGACCCAAACCAAGTATCTACCAATCCTTTTCTCACTGTGGTGCCAGAAACTTTGAAAATAACTGGCTTTTCTATCCATTTTGTTAGCCCCAAACAAAAGGGGAGCATGGTCTCAAGCTATCTTAAATATGAACAAATGGTCTAGAAAATCATCAACAGCTGTAGGACCAGTAAAAGAGAGCACTTTCCACACTGTGAAAGATGGTGGTGGAGAGAGGTGAAGAGACTGTGGCATTGCAATGAAAAGACTATGGCACTGCAATGCAAAGACTCTGGCAAAGTGTAACCAGAGGAACCCTGGTGATGGAGCCAGAGTTAAAGATTTTACCTGCTGGATGACCGAATGAAAATCTGACTTGTAATTGCTCTGAAATAAAGTTTTCTGGATGATTTAGGAAACCAGAGGCTCTTTGCACTTGTACTGCTGAAACCAGAGGCTCTTTGCACTTGTACTGCTGAATTGAACTTGGACTTTCACTAATTGAGAAATTGCGTGTTGTTTGTTGTTAATCTGGTTTAGGACTGCGGAACTAAACCTGAGTTTGCATTGTATGATATTCTTTGCCTATCTCCCCTGCAACCTATTTCCCTAATAATCCCACAACGGCGAGTAAAGCCTGTGAGTTAGGTTGCAATGAACATGGACCCAATGATTGGTAGAAATAGGTACAGAAGCTGGGTGGGGGGAGGGTGGCGTGTAGCTATTTGTATGGTATATATCTATGGATGTTATTGATGGAACCATTTCCCCTTTATGAAGTGGGTAGAAATCGAATGCAGCCGTTGCATCAGTTCCTTGTATGCTTTCCATTGTGGACTCTCACAACCAATAACTGAAAGCTCAAAGAATATGGGTTTGCGGTCATGTTCAGATTTCAAGCCTTTCCATTGGATTGATTCTGCACTTATTGTTTCCATCTTGGAGATCTGGTCATGCTATGGTTCAAACACTTGACAACTAATCCAGAGTTTAACCACTCAACTCCACCAGCTTCTGTGAAGATTTGTAGCCTTGGAAACATTAGCAGCAGTTCTACTCTGTCCTGCAAACTTGTCATGTCCTACGTGGTTGCCATGAGGAATTGATTTATTGACAATGAGTTTAGTTTAGTTTTGGTTTGTGGGGGATTTATTTTAAAAAAGGTGATAATACAGCATTTTATTGCTTCTAAGTAGCTCACATAAACATTATGTCAACTTGATCTCGAGATTGTTCTATAATAACTTTTTTCCCTGGTTTTCTTTACATTGGGTAGAATCCATAGTCCCAGTGACTTTGCAATCCAATTTTTTTTTAACATTCTCTCTACACTGTGATTCTTTTTAGCTAGTTAAGGCCATTTGTTGAGAAACATGTCATGTACATTATGGTTTCTTCTCCTTTGCTCATTGTATTATGGTCTGATTA